AAAAACTCTAGCAGATACGTCAAGCAGGAAGAGATGGAAAGCTCTCCTTTACCTTTTAATTCAGTCTATAATGAGTCCAGCCAGCCACTGAATGTATTATTTGTCCCCTCTTGGACCTGCTTGTTCTCTATAGCACCCTTCCAGTTTTCACTGAGTTGACAGACTAATGACTATCGCAAGGATCCCCTTGAAGTAAACCCTGAACAAAAGTCCATAAACAGTCAAAACAAAAACAGGAGACAGTTCAACTCCTCTGAAAAATTTGCTTTGTTGAGGAGTATAACATGGCAGGACCTTTATCTGGTAGGTTGATTGGGTTTTACTTTCATAGTATTTTGAGAGGGCAGATAAGGATCCCAGTGAGCACTTAACTCTAGTAGCAAGTGCAGCAGAATTTAACAAAGCAATGGCAGAAGAGTTCAGGCTGAATGTCTGTGGTGGAAAAAAAAATGCACCCACAGCATATCTATCACAAGAAGAACAAACATCTGAAGGGACAGCACCGAAGGGCTTTGCCTAACTTGAAAGAGTTGTTTCAGTGTGGCCCCTAAAAAGGCATCTTCGAATGAAGATGAAGGGTTGCTTTTCCAGTTGTTCCCTTAATCTTTATTTTTTCTGTCTATCTGTAGGTAAGCGCTGTTGCTCCAGAACATGTGTCGCTGTATTGGTTGCTGTGATATTCCTAATTTCCCTACTGGTCTTAGTGATATGTCTGACACTTAAGGGTAAGTTCTGCTAAAAAATGTAATAACTGCAATTAATTTGTGACTCTGACCCACTGACCGACATCTAAGTCACGGCATCCAAAACCGGTAGCAACAGAAGGCTGTTTGAAGGCACAGGACAGTAGTTTTTAGCCAAGCGTGGCCATAAGAGGAAATCTATAAAAGAGTTGAGTGTTTGACAGTTCAAAATTCCAAAAGAAAAAAAGCCAAAACTCAATTAAAAACCTGACAATGTTCAAATAATAAATAACTTATTATGCAAATGTTTCGAAGAAACAAGTCAAGATTAGATAATGCCTCTCAGTATTATGATTGCTATCTGTGAGAATATTTCAAGGAGATGATCTTGTATCATGTCACCAAGATGTCCATAACACCAAAAATCTTTAAATAAATATGAATTAACCTCATTTGAAAGAGATAGCTAAATCACAACTTAAAGGAATTTGTTTGCACCTTGCTCCAATAAAAGCCTAGTACAAAGAGCTATGGTAAAGAAAGGCAAAGAAAGGCAAAGAAAGCCTTGATGTTCCCAGTTAGCATATGACTAAAGCACAGTAAAATTCAGTGTTAAATAGCTCCAATTAGAAAATAACACATTGTTGCTTTGTTGGGTTTTGGTGCCTGTGAACCATTTTCAGTAATGCTGCTGTCTGAATCTCTTAGGCAGATTTCAGAGTTAAAGGTGACAATATTCCAGGAGAAAATCTTGATCCATCATTTATGTGTTGTAAATCGATTTGCAGCCAGTAGGAGTATCAGTAGGGTGGTGTTCATTTTTGTAATGCATACCAGTATGCATTCATTTCTAATTTTTCACAGAAATAAATGCTTTAAAATTATGTTAGGTGCTATTATATACCAAGGATTTCAGGGTATCTTTACAAGCAGTACTTCAAGTTTTCACCCAGAGGCACAGGCTATATGCAAAATCCAGCTTCTTTATCTTCTAAAATGAAATGGTCCTGATACTTGTTCATATTTTGCTTTTGAGAACTTTTCCTGAAGAGTAAATTCTGTTTCCCCTTCTTCAAAATACATGGTTGCTTCATCAACTTCTCAGTCCTCAGCTTTAACTTCATTATTTCCACCATAATTATCTGTTTTAATACTCTATAAAATATAATGCATAATTTATCATGTGTATCTCTGTATATAGGTTTGGATGTAACTCTATGTACCACAGCTTTAAGAACCTTTGTTTTCAAATGTTCAGATATACATCTTTCCTTGATGCTTTTTTTTGATTTGTTTTGGTTTGGTTTGTTTTTGGTTTTTTTATATTGATATCTAAGACTCAATTTCTTATACATCAATATATTGTAAGTTAATCCCTAAAAGGAACAAGACAAATGATACAATTTAGTTGCCACAAAATTAGACTTTTATTGATCAACTTTGATCTTTGAATTGTAAACATAAAAGCAGTATTATTCCTTGCCAGCATTTGGTTTTAGGTGCTACAGTGAAACTTTTTTTCTCACAACCCCAAAAGTCTAGATCTTGCTTGCTATGAGGAAAGAAACGTAGATCAGTAGGACTTCCTAGGCAGAGTGTTTTTGAAGTCTATAGTGACTTCTACAATTCATACTTCAGCAATTTGTAAAAGAGGAGTTCAACATCTGTTTTCCACCAGGACATGCCAGCTCATTACAATCCTAGTAAAAAAAAGGCACTCTGGCTCTCTAGGGTATTATTTAAAATGCTATTTATTAGAGCTGATACTATAAAGAAAGGACAGTTTAGAAAATCCTAGGTCCCTTCAGATGCTGGGAACCCTGAGCAAAATTACAGAACAGAGGAACTTGGTCCAGTGGCTCTGTTTTCTGCGAAAGGAAGTATAATCATTTCCCAAAATAAAACCGTTATTTCGTACTTATTTCCTTCCATCACTCACTGTCTGGCTCTAGGCTTACGGAAGGAGCTGGTTAACCCTTTGTACTAAAATTGAGATTCATTTATGTCACTGCACAGTTTGGAGTCTCTGATGGGCCTTGAAATCCTTCTGGACATTTTTGGCAGTAGGGTTTCTGAAACCTTGATCGTCTATAGATAAAACTGAAACAAGGTATGTGGGGAGAAGTGATATGTTGTATAAGACAAGTGTATATTTGTTAATTATTTCAATGTTGAGTATTCTACTGAATCATTTAACATAGTAGTTGAGGGGAGATTTCAGTCATTAGATGCGTTTGTAGTTGCCAGCCAAAAAAATTCTGTATTCTCTTTATGATCATCATAGGGCTAAAAGTTGCTTCATTTTGGCTATGATGAACTCTCTGAGATGGAGCTGGCAGAAGAAATCTCCACATGTTAAAGACTGGTCAGGCTGTTTCTCACAACAGGCAAAAGTGTGCCGAGTGAAATGTACTCCCTATCCTGAAAACCTTTACCTTGCCGGTATTCTTTGTTTCTTGAGGAAATAATTAACTTCTGCAGCATTCTCTGAAAAACAAATATTTTATTGGAATAAGATATACAATTGGGGCACAAATGCTCCTCAGTATTTTTGTCAATAAAAATTTTGCTACAAAAATGTATTGGAAGAACAGATGCTACATTTATGATAAAATAACCTATTTTTGCCAGAGGTGAGTACAAGGCCAAAATGTATTCTCTGTAACAGAGGTGCTCATCTCTCAAACTCAATAGTTACTTCTTGTCAGCATAGTTATGACTATGTTCCGGATGGGCTGAACCCCTTCCAAGGTATTATTCCTACTGCACTACAGGACCTTGTATCTGTAAGGATGCTTGGGTACTACAGAAGGAAAGTAAGAGCTCAGGATTGCCACCTTCCCTGTTGACAGTTGCAGTTTGGATGCTTTGGGCTAGCAATCCTTCCTTTCACTACCAATTTTCAGTGTCCAGAAGAGATAAGGTGTCACCTAATCTAACCACCACTCCCCTTCTTTTCCCTCATCTTATTTTTGAGATTACTGCTTGTAAACAAAGTTCTTCCTTTAATATTCTGTTTCTTTTATCGTTTGCCTCACATATGAAGTCTGCAGAGACGTCAGTTCTTTCATGTTCCATGCTATTCTGGTACAAATTTCTTAGAACTTTCTTTAATTCAATCTTTTTTCTCATTTTTATATGTTCTTTTTTAAAAGCAATTTATATTTTTTTTTAAGTATAAGAATTCTATGCCTAAAATTTTTAGTTTAATGTTTCTTTACTGTTATTATTCATCCCTTCATTGTTCAACTCCAAACAACCTCAAAAATGCCTCGTTAAACTTTGTTATAGACAATTTAGTAACTCCCAGTCACCTGAACTATTCATGGCAGGGGCAATTGTGTCTTTAAAGCTGAGGTTTCCTAAGCGGAGAAGCTGGGAGAATATCAAGATTTTCTTACTGGTACACAGAGCCAGCTGCAACAACATAATCCTCCTTTAGCCTGTTAACCGTGAGTGATCCCTGAACTCCATACTTTCAACAGGATCTAAATTCTTGAGGGAGTTTCTAAACTGATAAAACCAAAGCCCTGAGAAGACATGAAAAATACATAAAAATCACATGAGCTTCTCTACTAAATTAAGCGTAAGTTTAGCTCATCTCAGACCTCAGCTGCTTTCTTCATGCTCTCAAAACTCTTTTTTTCCTTCTTCTCTGTGATAAATTCATGCAGTCTAGCTAGTCGTCAGGTAACAAAAATAAATTTGTAAGCCTCCCTCCATGGTCCCTCTTTCTGGGAGTCAGAAGCCTCCAGTGGAGGCTTCTCACAACCGCTGTGTCAGAAGAAAGAGGAAAATCAAGGCTATTTCAGCCTGGGTATCTACTTTTAAACCTAAAATGAACACTGTTGTCTCATTTAGGTCTGGGGGAGCAACACTGTCAGACCAGCTTCAAACTGGAGCACAGATGTGCTCTGCCTGAATATCTCACCCCAGTTACTTGGGGTAGGAGCAGACAGTGACAGCAGTTCCAAGCTGTGTGGGAGCATACTTGACCAAGAACAGATTGGCTTCAGCACTGTTCTTTCAAAGATGACTCTTATTTCTTATTGCTATAGTTAAGTGTATACTGTACATCACATTTACTGCTACTCTGAAACTGTGCGGAGGATTTATTTTCTTAACTTTCAGAGTTAGGTTCTTTGGAAATCTGCTCCATAGTATGGTACTACAGTTTTTTCAAAGGAGGAGCAAAAACGTGAGGAGTAGGCATTCTGTGTGGGGTGCTGTTGGGGATCAAAGAGATCCAGAAGAGCTCTGAGAGTGTATGGCAAAATGGTCAGCCATTCAAAGCATAAATTGTATTCTTATTTCCAGACAATCAAACTGCAAGCAGCCCACCTGCCTCAAAACCATCCTCCAACATCTATGAAGAGGTCTCAAGTAAGTTTGTTTGTTTGTTTGGGGGGGTGTGTGTCTACATTTTTTTCAGAAGAAAAACAAACAAACAAAAATTGGACATCTCAGGAATAAACAGCCTTATCCTGTGCACTCATAGGATGAGCTTTCAAGGCCAGAGATGTTTCACACTTTCACCTTATTTAAAAGTAGTGCTTGGTCAGCACTGCCTTACTGTTTCAGAGGGAAGAACTGATTACTCTCTCATGTTAGTGCAGAGGAGCCCATGGCTAGGTGAACGGACATGAATATAACAATCCCTTTGGTATCACAGCATTGTAGTGAGCGTGATGGATCAATGTGCATGTACTGCTTTTTAAATACCCCTCCATTCTTAGCATTTTAACTATGTGTGATTCCCTTCTGTTGTTTATGAGCTGCTACAAAACTATATCATGCAATCCCTGTCTCCCTGAAGCATATCACCCTTTCCAGGTCCCATTCTCTGTTCTTCCTGGTACCCGACCCAGCAATGGAGAGAAATGTTCTTTCTTTCGGTAGCATCACTATTGCCATATGTTGCAGCAGGCAAATAAGGCTTCTGAAAACGAAAAGCTGCTTTTTGCCGTCATCATTTCTCTTTATCTCTTGAGCAAAGATTTAAAAGGCTGGATAATGTTATCTGTGATTCTATTTCTCTGACTCATGCTTAGTGACTCTTGGGCTGGTATTAGCTACAGAGACTGTCAGGGATTCCTGGTGGTCTTGTGAAAATTATAAGCAGGACCGCAGAAGTATTTTTCTGGCTGTAACTTACTCTGTTACCTTTCTTTTGTAATGGGTCCTTTAGTTAGTGTGAACATGGATTCTTCCACATCTGTTCTTCCCTCCTGCAGGCTGCCCCCAATCCTGGGAAAGAAGTGGGAAAAAATGCTACTTCTTTTCTCAAACGCAGAAAATAAATGACTGGAACGCCTCCCGTGAAGAATGTATTCACATGAATTCAGATCTGGTGATCATTGACAGTGAGGAAGAACTGGTGAGATCTAAATTCATGGGGCTGCTTCTAGGGTTCCTTGACCTGTATGCCAAAGGTCTGATGGGTCACCCTTGTGTCTTCTCACATGAAATGTCTTTGGGGGTCTATAATCTACTGCTAGCTCTATACACCAAGCACCTCTGTATGGTAGCAAATGCCTTCACAGTAAGATGCATCTTGGTGGTTGAAGTCTTGTATCTGGAAACTTCTCTCCCCAAGCATGCTCCCATGGGAAGGAGCAAACTCTCTGCCTAGCTGACTTACTTTTTAAAGAGTTTTAGCACACAAACCAAGACCTACCAAGTCAAACAGACACTTATTTGTGAGGGCCATTGCTTTGATGAAAACTGAAAAGACTTTCCCATCACAATCAGAATAGAAAAGTGTCTTCAGGTATCAGGTCATACCTGGCTAACTACAATGTATAGCTTTAATAGTATTACAGGTGTATTATTTTATTTAGTCTATTCCTAAGAAGCCTCAGGAAGAGAGATGAGATTAAACAAAAATGGAAAAATTCAGCCTCTGAAGCTGTGGAATGAGATACTGTGTCTGGATGCACACTGTACTTTCTGTGTTGGCTATTGAGCACTAAGCTTTCTGTGTGTCTCTGGTGAAGAAAATGTAATTTTAATCTATTATCATTGTTTGTTTCCTTTCTAGAAGTATCTTGCTTCACAATCAAGAGGTCACTACTACTTACTTGGTCTCACATACTCTGAGAGCGAGAAGAAGTGGAAGTGGATTAACAACATGGAACATAGCACAGACATGTAAGCTTATTCCAGCAAGTCACTGTGATGCATTATCTGGGAACAATTAAAAAAAAGAAAACCCAGAGCCAACAACAGGGAGTACAAGTGAGATTAGGGACCACAATTTGTAGCAACCCAATTCCTTGAGATTCAGGTGCTTCAGCACATCCCTGTCACAAGGCGAAGGGAGCCTGTAAGTCACATGGGAACACAGGCATGTCACATCAGGATGGCAAGAGAGGACACAGCTGTAATTCTAGTGGGGAAGGATGAATGTGACCAGATGGAGTTCAGTGGGGAAAGAAAGGATATACCAGGCAGGGACAAGAGAGAGTGTGATGTCAGTACCATTGAATGGAGGCTACCAAAGAAGTGGAAGGTCTATGGATGGGAAAGCACAGTCCTTATGTTTTTGTTGAGGTCTGGGGAAGAAAATTAAGGAATGGGAGGGAGACTCCAACAAGGCAGCTTCTAATCCCACTGACAATAATACAGCTCATCAGCAAGGCCACATGTCTTTCATGGAAGTGATAGTGACTGCATTGAATCCAGCTAGGTCAGGAATGCAAAGAAATCTGACTTTCTCTCACTGTTCAGGTTTACTATAGGAGGAGACTCTACTGACTATTTCTGCGCTGTCATTGGACCTGGCAAAGTAGAAACTGCATCTTGCAGTGGATCTTCAACAACACGAAATATGTGTGAAAAAGATGCAAATATTTCAGAAAGGCAGAAGAAGAGCTAAAAACAAGAGGTCCAGGCAGTAAGGTCATCCCCAGCTTTCTGTAGCAATGGTGGATGGGGTACGTCTCATTTCTCTTTAGCTGTCTAAATATCTAGTCAAAGGGACTCCTACAGGCTCCCTCTAGACACCTTGCCAAGCTTAGCACATTCTTTCCCAAGATGGACGTCCGAGACTGGATGGATCCCCCTCTAGAGGAGCCTGCATTTTCACACATTAGGAGTCTGGGTGACTTATACCTGATGCCTGACTTTCAGGCAGCCACCGTTAGGTGATTTGAGTCCAACCTCAGTGATAGGTGTGATCACAAACAGATCCTATCTGTCATAGACACACGCATATACGCACACACATTCCCAACCCTGCTTGTGCACAAGGAGACACTTCAAAGCCTTGCCATGCACTGGTCTTCCCTACAGCCACAAATGAAGGTTAACACATATTTTTATTTTGGATCCTGTAGAAAAGTGCAACCACACTCATTGCCATGTTGCATAGATACGATTGACAGCATAAAGTAAATGTATGTATCTATAAACCTTACTCTGTAAAAGACTGTCTCTGTTAAAAAAACACGCGGCATACCAGACCCTGTGGGGCTAAAATGTGATTCACCAAAAGGGAAATGATCCTACACTGCAGCTCTGTGCATAAAATCACCACTAGTCTTGTGTAGGTCAAGGAAAGTATATCAGATTTAGACTTAGCCCTGCTGGGGAAGGGCACAGGATGAAAAGCAGTAGAGACAACCAAAGCCTGAAAAAGAGAGTCACAATAATAACTCAACTGGACAGAAAATAGTCAAATCAAAAACACAGTTACCTGTGAAGAAGCTGGTGAGAAGTGTGAGTGACCTACAGAGAACAACAACACAGCAGACTGTCCTGTTTTTCTTGGATAATGATCAAAGGAGAAAAACATGCATGAAGGTTTTTCCTGCACAGAGAAGTTAGAGCCAACACCAGAAACAGGTGGTACCAGTAGAGCGGCGACGTGACCAGCAAACAGTGAATATTACCAAAGCTCTTCCAATGTGCTTCAACTGCTCTTGGGACTCTGAGGCTTTTGTGACCCCAAGGTTTATCATTCTTACCATCTCCTTTGAGGCAGAATCATTTCTACTTAAAATGGTGCCATTCATGGCTCTCCTTCATCTGCAGGATGGAGAAAGCTCTGTGAATTCCTCGAAGAAGTGACAGGGATGTCATGCTTTCTCATTGGAAAAAAAAAAAAGGTTTTGCTTAATCAAAGAATTTATATTCAGAATGCTGTGGCCAAGGGTAGTGAAAATGGAATCATAAAGGAAAAACTCTCTCACGCTGACTTGAAAGCATATTTTTATGTCCCTCAGAAAAGCAATACTCCTCACTGCCCTCATTCATCAAGACTCTTTTGAAACATATTTGTAATTCCCTCACTGAATTTTAATCACCAAAGAACAAAGTAAGAATGCGTAGCTGTAACAGAATGGCAGAAACCAGAATCTAAACTGTTATTTCAGAAGGAAGGTGTGCTGAAGGGGCTATTTGTTTGTACTCGCTTTGCTGGAGGGGGTGGCAGAGCACTCTATATTGTGTTACAGACGGGTGCCCTTTTATGTTCATACTCCAGCTGCTGCCCTTTGATCAGGTGAGCTCTACTGAAGGTGAGGGGCAGGGAGACATCTCTTCCCTGGGAGCAGCTGGACTCAAGGGGAGTTCAGAGCCTTCAGCAAGCAGCAGACCCAAGCAGCTATGTATCAGAGGTGACAGAAAGGGGGAAGCTGCCCTAGGCCCACTGTGGAACTACATGGAGTCCATCAAACCCAGAAATCCACAGAAAGTCACAGGACTCAGAGGCAAACACTGCTTACAAGGAAATCCCTAAAAAGGGAGGAAGTTTGACTGAAAGTGGTTTATTTACTCTCCTTCTCTGCTTTCTTTGTTCATAAAGTGGTTTTTTTTCTGATTTTGTTATCTTAGTTTCTAAATAAACCTTAAGTTTACAGTTTGGTTATCTTTTGGCATGCCCACTGCAAAGAAAGAGTGAAATATTTCACACTAACTCTGACTTGGTCAGGATCTCATCCTGATGCTAAGGTCAGGGAATCCCAAACCAATCCAACCTAACCTCTCAGAGCTTCTGTGGTTGATGCCTGCAGAGAATTACAAGGCTGGTTTTAATTCTTTATGCAGTTGGGCCATAGGCTGACGCTCATCTGGATAGGTCAGGCTGACAGTGTCAGCCTCATACGGCACATCCTAGACATATGGCAGGCTCCATTAGTGACCATTATCAAGAAGAACTTGGGACTGAGGTACACCTCCAAGAGGTGTTCTTCAGGGCTCATCCTATTTTCATAGATCTATAGCCCAGTGTGTTTCACTATAGTGGTGGAGTCAGCATCCCTGGAGGCATTTAAAAGACGTGTAGATGTGGTGCTTATGGACATGGTTTAGTGGTGGACTTGGCCGTGCTAGGTTTACGGTTGGACTCGATGATCTTAAAGGTCCTTTCCAACCTAAACGATTCTATGATTCTAAGTAAAATGTGGTCTTTAGTGGATTAACTGGGTTACTCTGCTCAGTTACTGGGGCAATGTTCTTTCAGCTTCACTTCTCTCATTGGTAAGAGTTGTCTCCTCCACTTTCAGCTGTGAAGTCACTGACATAAAAACATTATTTCAGTGCAGTTGTCCGCTGCACAGTTTGATTGTCCCCCCACACAGTTCGATTTTAGTTAATTGGAGTGATACCTTCATTAAAGTATCAACAGAGCGAAGTGGCTGAGTACATGCTGAAGAGAAAATGTCTGTTTGTGTACATATGCTTACACATAAACACAAATACACACATGAACCCTCTGAAAAGCTTCCTTGATTAAAACTGTTTGCTGATTAAGTTCTGCCCACATTACATTCTAAGGAGGTGCCCTTCTGAAAAGAAGAAAAAGCCAAAATTTCCTTTTCTGCTGGATCAACTACTAGATGAGGAGGAGGACCATGGGAGGACAGGAGGATCATTTCCAGCATAGGAAGTGCAAGTTTCATTTATACAGGTTTTGTTTGGGCTTTGTTTTTTTCTGTTTGTTTTTCCTAGTCCCGGTAACTTATGCTTGAGCATGTTGAGCACATACTGAATCTTTGGAAAGGAAGTTACCAGACTCTACTGAGTCTCTAATGAGCATGTACAAACTGAGGTATAGGGAGGCTATGTTTAGGGGAAAGGATAATTTCCCTGTCAAATTTCTAATCTCTGTTGGTGGAGGTGTTGCAAAGTTTCAGTGAAATGGCTGTATATGTACTTTTAACATGACTAACTGTGCTTTTTTTCCTTATTTCAGCATTAGAAATAACAGAATTATTGAACTGAGACTTAAACTATAGGCGTTACTGTTTGTTCCATCTATAAAAAAAGAAAAAAGTTTCTTAAAGTGCCTGTTGATACTGGCTTGCTTTTAAAAGGTCAGTTTTGCTCTCTCACCTACAACTTTGTTAAGAAAGGGACCCTTCTATATGAACAGAAATGCTTGGTGTAGCCCCGACTGGTAGGAGTTTCCTACAGACCCCCTTGCTCCTCCTGGTCCTAGACTAGAGTCTGTGTTTAAGTGAGCAGTACAAAGGCTTCCTACAATTAAGCCAGTGCTTGAACTCTGTGATGCAATTAGTATAACTATTTTGGGTAGGCGTGGTATTTTCTTGATGCAAATTGGTCAGTTATTACTGTCTAATCTAGATCTGAGGTAGCTTATACCTGTAAAGCATATTCTCTTTCCTTCATGAGCTGAACAGCAGAGTGACTGTACAGTAGCTATGCCTGTGTGATTAAAGTTTTAAAACTTTCAGCATTATAAATGCCTAAAAATATGTGAACCTTCTTTCCTGAGGGTTCACCTCTAAAAAAAGATGAAGCTAGGCCTTTATTTGGCTTCCAGACTTTGTGAGTGTTTATATACATGTATTTAACTTTTTAGAGAGCTAGATAACCCCAGAGTATTTGAAGGAAAAACCCAGCATATTTGAAGTACCGTATTTTTGGAAACATATTTTTGCTTTCATTTTTGAATTTGGGAAATCAGCATAGTTTACTAGAAAAACTAGCCTTACGATAAAAATACCTCAACAAAGTCATTGAAGGGAAATCTGGCTGGACATTAAGGCAGTTAGGTGCTAGTCAGAAACTAAACCACGGAAAGGTGAATATCACTTCTAGTGTCATCAAGATGCTAGATTTATCTTCTAAAGATGGAGACCGTGGACGTGTTTAAAACTAGCTGAGGTGTTTTGCTCTGAGGAGAACTGAGGTACAGTTTTAGGGAGGTAAGCTTTAAAGAAATGAGTTCAAAAGGTCACTAAGTTAAGACAAAAGCTTTAGATTGTGGCAGAAATTACTTAGGAAAACGGCATTTCACATTTTCAAATAGGAAAGGAAATAACATGGCAACAAACAAGTATGACAAATGCTCAGCTTTCAAGGAGATGTGAGTCCCACGGGTATCTTCTAAACACAGGAATATATTCTGCAGGAAGTCAGTGGAAAGGAGAGTAAATTGTAAAACATCATCAAAAGGGAGAATTATGAGGGCTGGAACAAAATTTGAAGATCAACCAACCAGACACATAATATCAAAAAATACTTACTTCAACTGTGCAGGAATCTAAGAGAATAAAATGTGCATTTACAGAACAGATTAATTGTAGTTTTTAAGAAAAATATGGAGTTTACTGGGAAACCAGTTTCTCTACATTGGACTTCAACACACCTTTTTTTTTCTTTGTAATTAAGATACAAACAGAAAACTATAAACAGAAAGGAGCAGGCTCACATTCACAAGCCCTGGTCTACATGAGAGACTTCAACCACCCCGCTATCTGTTGGAGGGACAACATAGCGGGACATAAGCAATCCAGGAGGCTCCTGAAATGTGTTGATGATAACTCCCTTCTCCAAGGGATAGAGGAGCCAACGAGGAGAGGTGTTACGCTGGACTTTGTTCTCACCAACAAGGAGAGGCTGGTGGGGAAT